TCTTTGTTATGCAAGCTGTTAATCACTAAACACAAAAGATATGAATTTTGGTAAATATTAGTGGCCAAACATCGAGCACTAAAGAAGTAACAGGTTTTTCACAGACTGATGGAGGTCACTGGTTCTCTCCATTATACAATTACTGGCAAACTCCATGCAGTGATAACCTACTTGCAGTTTACAAAATTATATCTGCTCTGGGACATTTTTAAACTCAAGCTTGTATTAAATGAGCTCACTGTTAAGACAAGCTCCTTTTAAACAGTTTGAAATCCAGGGCTGGGCCCTCTCGAGATTCACTTCAAGATTCAGAGGTTCAATTTCCTTTTGGCTCCGTTCCCTCAATCCATCTCAGTTCACATGTTTGCATAGACAGTCCACCCTTAAAAAGCCTTTCAGCTGGCGGTGAGCTTTTAATCACTGCTGACTTGGACCACCCAAACACTCGATGGAAAATAATCCTGATCATGTGCATATTTGTGCATTCAGCATACATAATTTCTATTGCCAATTAGAATTTCCAACTATTATTGGGAAGAAAATTAAGACAAAACAATGTAATTGTTTATTTAATGTTCTGTGTGCTAGGCATGTTTTAAGACTCTTACAATAAAGATTTACCACTTCTAAAAAAAAGTGTTCAACATTTCTGCATGAATTTATTGTACAGTTTATTTATTGTTACAGTTTAACCTTAGCTTTTTAAAAGACTTAGGTGCTGGACTTGAACATTTTCATTGATGCTTATCCTTTTATGCTATTGCTTAGTGCTTGCAGTACGGCTTATTTTGATTGGCATGCTTATTCATCCATATTTGGAGGATGCTTTCAGTCAGTGGATGTTATTCACGGATAAAATGCTCTATTCATTTCCAGAACCGATTGGATAAGCCTTCTAACTGTAACCATGGCGATGTTTCCTGTCAGTGGTTGAGTGTTTCACCGTTAACCTGTTTAATTGCGCCCTCATATGAATGTGGAATGACCTGTGAGAGTGACTTCATTTTGAGCAAATCTGAGGTGAAGTGCCATGGGTAAGAATTTATGCAGAAGAGAGCACAAACCTGATGGGAGCATAGTTTTTGAGACAACAACAAGCAACAACTCATGTGTTTGGTTCAAAAGCTACTCTGCTACTCTTTGCCGACTGATTGGTGCTTCCATTCTATCAATTTGTCTCAATTATGACCTCATATCACAGGCGGACTTCTCTAACAACATAATGGAACAGTTAAACACCCATTTCTCTGGCTAACACTCAACCGCAAATGGGTGTTGTTAGTCCTGTTGTGCTGTTGCACCAAACCCAAATCAGAATCCTTAAAGTATCCCTCTAATCCAATGTCACAACTGTCAAAAAACCCAAAATAATTAATACCCGTCTAGAAGCAAAAGGTATAGACAACGTATGGACATATCCACACATGCAGACATAAAACGAGCTGTTTTGGTACTCACAGGCAAAAAAGGTTAATTTAAATGTCTTCCCCTCAAAGTATCTTCCAATGTTGTAATCCAGGTGTGTTTAAAGTTCCCTGTATGAGTAACTGATCGATTTTCAGGAGAGCTGGACAGGAGAGTTGCTTCTACTCACGCTGGTCCATCTCTTGATTGAATTTCCACTGGCATGCAATTGTATCGGCCAGGTCCACAGGAGGGAGAGGACACAGGTCACAACATTCGACAGGGTTCAACTGTCTTTGGAGCCGTAGGGGCCTTTATCAGCAGCTCCATAAAGGCAGAAAATTGGCTGGCTGTGCACAAAAGCTTGTGAAAGAGAGACACACTTAATAATTCTGGCGCTGTGAATATCAGAGGGATTTCACACACGCAGAACCGCACAAACAAGCCAAACTTTACACACTGTGATTTTCTCCAAACAGCCCATAGGAAATGTCGCAACATACATTTCTTTTGTTGGAGTTGACGCAAAAATATGTTGCTTTATTAATAGTCAAGAAAGGTTTTGCAGCTGAGGGCAGACCCCCCCCACCCCCAATTAGGATATTCAGAATAGGTCTGTCCACAGTGACATGTTGAATGAAGGATACTGGATACCCACTGTCTTCAGAGGAATGCATAATTCAGAATAAGCCAGAGCAGAATGTCACATGTAACCTGGTCCTTTGTCCATGTGCAGCCATCAGGTTACACCAGAGCTTTTACCTGACAACTGATCACTTTCCTTTTAAAGCAAACTGGACTTTCCAAAAGAGCAATATTTTCTGTTGATAGAGCGGGGAAAGATATAATACCTTAAAAGATGCTTGGATGGATTAATCCAATGAGAACAATAAAGGAAATAATACAATGGACAGTTTTTGAGGGTATTGTAAAACAAATATTATATCTGAGCTGTTGAGCATGGTAATTAACATTAAAATAATCATGGGCGCTTTTTTTAATAATAAAACTGTAAAAGTAAAAAAACAAAAAAATATTTATGTTGATAGGAATGGATGCATTAAATGGAATCTGAAGGACTTTTTTTGTTTTTCACAGTCTGTAAATGCCTGATTTTTCTGTCACAGCAAGTAACGTACACTTAAATGTTTATGGAAGTGAGGCAGGCAGGTATTGTGATCAAGCCAAGAACCTTCCAGTGGAATTACAGTATCCAGTGGTTCTGTGCTTGCTTGTGGGTCCTGTCCTCACTTATCCTACAACACATGTGGGGCAGACTCATAATAAAAAAACAACAAAAAGCAGCTGCACCTATTGCCTGGTAAAAACATCCCAAAAGAGGAAACACATCATTCTTTGACGAGACAGTGTTGGTTCATTTAAAGCTGCTTAAGCTTTCAGAAGTCCAATTAGGGTTATTTGGGGGATAACTATTTCAGATAGTCACTATCCAAAGAGGATAGTTTGAAAGAACTTAAAGTTACCATTTTAGTCATGGTTATGTTAATTAGTTTAATTAAAACTGAGCTCCACACAGTAAGGTTCTACCTATTAAAGAGCTTTGATTAGTTCATTTGTATGCAGAGTTGCCAAATGCGTGCAGCATCCTCTAAGGAATTTCCTAAAGAGTCGTGTCCAAAGACATGAAGAGTGTCGAAAAACGTGAGTGTACATAGTTGTCTGTCTCTGTGTTTTAATCCTGGTGAGGACTAACTTTTACAGGGTCAAAGGCCAAATCTCTCTGGCCCTGTTGACAGCTGGGACTGGCCAAGGTCCCCCATGAACCTGAACAGGGCAAGGCAGGCACAGAAAGTGCAATGATGGACACTAAATTCATAGTGTATTTAATATGAAAAGTGATATTTTCTTGGTCTGTAGCTTTCAATTACAAATCTGCAAACTAAATAAATATGTGCGAACGCATGTGATGTGTGTGTCTCATGCACTGTGCGCACATAACAGTCAAATGTTATGAGGACAAACGGGATTTTTAAAATGTAATTTGTAAGACATAAAGTACACAAAAAGGCCTGCATGCATTTCCTTCTGTTACAAGCGTGCAGTCACACAAATGCATATGAGATTTTAAAATCGCTCCAAAGTCTGTTTATGAAAAAAAAAGCTAGCAGGAGAAAGGACTCTAATAAAAAGTCTGGAAATGGTTGAGAAATACAGATCATGTTACAGAAAAGGAAAAATTTGAAAACTTTTAATAGACCTCTGAATACCACTTGTGGAAAAAGTTGCTAAAATGCTAAAACAATTAAACAAGGATGCCTTACTTCCATGTCCTCTTATATTTGAACCCTGAGGTGTCTACAGTTCCTTCCTTGCATAAAACTGTTGTCTTTAGGTCTTCAGCGACATCTACTGTTCACACTGTAAAGTGCAGAACTCAGTGTGCTCTGAAAGAAGTAAAGAATTCAGACATCTGTGGAAGTAGGTGAGTTAATGGTAAAATGGACTGACAGTTTGGTTGAGAAGGGAGCATATGTGACAGGGGAAACAGATAAGCATTTTCTCTGGAACACTAACTTGTGACAGCAGAAAACTGATGTGTCTGTGTAATTATCTAAATGAATGATAGCTTAATTTTGTTCAGCTGCTTCAATTTCAGACCCAGGGCAGGGCATTATATATGTTAAATTACTCATAACGCTTTAAGTGATCATTACTGGATCACTTAAACACATAATATTAGTATATGTAGCTCTTCCAACTACAATAATTCCCTCTTCTCCTTTTTATTGGCAAGTTTCTTAGCGGTGACGTAGTTCCAACTTTCTATCAAAACCATACTTTACTAATGTAGCATATCAAGACCTACCTTCGTCTTTGCAGAACAGGACTGGAACCTTTAGAAAACAAGTTGTTGTGTGAAGAAATATAAAGTTCACATCAGTCTTTGATACAAAAATATAATTTAGTTTAATAAAAGCTATTTGGTTTTTCAGCCAGATATGACAAAACATAGTGGATGACACCCTAACCATGCACAAACTAATTTTACACAGTATCAAGTAGTGGGTTGTTGTCAGAAAAACAGATTTTATCAATTGTTAAAAGAATGACAGGGTGTTTTATTTATTTATTTTTTGGTACTAGAGAGTGTTTGTAGTTCCACATTTTCGCCACCAGATGGCGCTTTGTCACGCTCCGATGATTTCCTTTCCTCGAATTGCAAAGCAAAAGTCACACTCAAAACTCCGTCATTTTTATCTTTTATTTTAAAAAACTGGAATAAAGAGGAGCAGACTTTAACGTGCAAAAGAGTGCATGAGGTACATGAATTTGATTTGAGATGTCTCGGACTATAAAACCTCTTTAATCGATTGGTCATAAACCTAAAACAACGCTGACACGTTTGAAACTGTAATTATTCCAGAGACAATAGTTCAACATTTCACAGGAATGTTCCTGCATGTGTTCGTCCATTACTTGAAAGCGTGTAGTAGTGAAATATAGAAAGAGGTTAAAAAAACAACAACAACTGTCACCTGAAAAACATCAAATCGTCTAAATGCTCGTTTGGGTTCTTGTGTATTTCCAGAGGGAATCCACCACAAATCCCCTTTTGTGCGTGAGGTGAGCTCTGGATGTGTGCCTTGCTCGGAGGCTCCGGCGGGCAGCGGCGGCTCTGCTGCGGCTGGGTCCTGGATTCCGGAGCCCTGATTGGCCAGCGCGAGTCACGTTGTCCGCGGAGCTGTCAGTCTGATGCTGCACCATTGTTCCTTCGGCAGCCGGAAGAAGCGCTCCTTCCATCTCTGCTGCATGTGCAGGCTGTGCCGGTCAGCGCGGCTCCGTGGGCTGTGGATCTGCCCCCGGTTCGGTGGCCAGGCGCACGCGGGGGCTTCCGCCGTGCCATCCTCTGGAGGAAATTCTGGGAAAGTCCATTGAGAGCAGCGTGGCGTGTTTATGAGCGGCTGGATACAGATGACAGCAACAAAATGAATGGTGAGTGTGACCAATTACAGGTGATCCGCCTGCATTTAAACCCGTGCACGCAGGGGGGGAAACACATGACCATCCTCTTTGTCTTCTGTCTGTTACTTGCAGCGTAAAGTAAATAGGTGATGATGGGGTCCTCTGCTGTTTAGTTACTTCTTCAGCCAGCAGGAATCCATCCCTGACTGGCCCATTTGTCAAATTACATTGGGCACCACACCTCAATGTAGGAGCACTGCTGCAACTAAAAGGACTCTTAGATGAGACCATTTGTTTGGACTAATTCTTTGCGTTTTTGGTCCATTTCATAAAATACAAGCTGTGCAAAGTGTTGTCGTTGAGGGGAAAAGACAAAGAGCCAAAATGTCTTTGTGAAAAGCTTCTGTGTGCAGCACTGGCTGCTGTACTAGAAATCAGCTGGCTGTTTTATAGCCAACTGAGCTTTCAGGCAAACCACAGACGCAGACTTTGTGTAGAACAGGGAGAGGACCCCAGGGACCCCCCGCCCCCACACCCCTCACTTATAAAAGAAGGAATGGCTCACAGAGGATTGAGGTAAAGCTCTGTCAATCATTTCCATATCAATACTGAAAAGGCAAAGTTTCCCCGAAATGCCTGTGTAGGTGACAGCGAGCATCACAACATAATTACTCGGTGTGTGTCTCGCTGTGGCACTCTGAGGCACACGCAAAGCAAAGTGTACGCTTTTATGCTGGCTGAAGGAATAAACACTGCCTTTGCTTGTCCTCTTTGTTCTTCACAGAGCGCAAGTGGATCGTTGCTGTGTAACACATTTAGCCAAAGGTAAGATCAGATCTTGGATCTGCTGTTTGATATATATCCTATTGCCAGTCTTCACAACACATTAACATATTGAATTCATGCCTGCGAGATATGTGGCGTTCCAGGCTCACACAACTGTTGCTAAGACGCCACAAAAGACCCTCAGATAAAAAGAGATGATGTGATGCCGGTGCAGACAACAGTGTTTAGTCAATAAAGACATTTGCTATTCTCACTGGATTTGACTTGAGAGACGCCACTGATATCACAGTGATGAAAAGAAGTATTCTTCCTCGAACTGTTGTATTATATGTTTGATCTGTTTAGGTCTGTAAATGTAACAATTGAAACCGAAAAAAAGAAAGCACAAATCTCATTATGCCCTCAAGGTGTTCATAAACGTGGAGCTTTTTCTTTCTTTTTACCATGTATCCCTTACAGTAGACAGGAACATGTCATCGTTATTGTTCCTCAGCCGGTCTCTTTTGTTAGAAATAAAGAGTCCAGCACTCTCAACATGCTTGCAAACATTCAGTATGCCACTAAACAATTTGGATATCTGTGGTTGAGATTGAGAGGTGAGTAGTTTGGCTGGCGGGGTGCGTCTTTGGGGAAGTGGGGCCTCTCTCCTTTGGACTGTGTGGTTTCCCTCTTCAATCCATCTGTTTCCTGAATCTATCAGCACCCAGTCCTCCACTGGGAGCTGAATTTGATTAGTGCACGTGGCACAGAGTTAAAGGACACTGAAACATTAGGAAGATGTATTTACTTGTGAAAAGCTGCATCATTAAGCTGCTGGCTTATTTGAAGAAGTGAATCAGCCATGCTGGTATTACATACTGTGGCACAGATGGCCCAAGCTTGATAACAGTAAATGTAGACTATTAAAGATTCACAGGAAAGGTGTTATGGCTTAGCAGCGATAAGGAGAGTCTCTCTGCAGGAGGCTGATGTGGGTGAGTTATTTGTGCACAAATGTTCACAGCCATGGATGAATTTATTTAGTTTCCTTTTATGAGGAACAACAAGACTTTGAGGTCCTAGCTTGACCTGGAGATTCAGAGAGATTTACCAAGTGAGTCCAAATATTTTAGCAATAATTGGCTTTGTGGTATTGAGTCTTCCTTTTCCTTTCTTATTTCCTGGATTTGGTCACTATTGAACCTCCTGTGTTTTTCTGTGTCTTTAAAGTGTCCCACCAAATCAGAAAAATTAATGATTTAAGGAAAAATTATTCTGTAAAGTTGAATTAAAAAATCTAAACTGTAGAACGACTGAAAGAGACTGAACCAATAAAAACAAGGGAAGCTAATGTCGAGGGTAATAACACTGTTATCCATGTAATCATGTACAAACAAATTTAAAATGATTATTCATATTTTGCAGGAGTTATAAAATGAGCTTTTATTGGTAAATTAGACTTTAGACCTTTTTTTCCATATAGAAAAAAGCAAACATATGATTTAGTGTAATTTATGAGGGAAGACGAGAGAAGGACGGGTTCACTGAGGCTTATTGACAGCCACAGCTGTTTTTGAAGCATGTCATACATGTGCTCTCTATACCGAAAAAGAAACTGGCTTTCTCAGTAATTTATCTTCCCATATTCCAGATTCAATATGCTTTTCATTTATTGTCATCACACATTTTAATTGAGGCTTCTCTTCATAAACGCTGAATATGAATTGTAGTAGTGATGAAGTATGCAGTCGGTAAGATTCGAGTGTAAGCTAATAACAACCTTTTAGATCACATAGCAGCTTTGTGAGCCTCAGCAGGGTCCGTCGTTCCAATTTAGATGCTTTTTATGCAACTCTTTTTGTGCATTTGGCTCCGTTCTGGCTGAGCTGTGCTTGGCTTTCACGGTACAGGATTGCGCTCTCATGAGATGTTGCCATGAAACCTATTTGAAATGTCTGTCCCAACTTATCAAATGTCACAAAAGAAAGAAGACAGAAATGCATATCCTTGTATTAGTTGAATAAGCTTTGATTGTCATTTATGCATGCTTTTTGCAGGAAATGATAGGGAAAATGTTGCATTATATTTTTACGTGATTATTATATTTTACTATACAGATTTATGTAAAAAGTATAAGTTGTTATTTTAACCTGATCTTTCCTTAAAGAGATGTTTCATGTCAAACATTTAAAATACGCATGCATATGGGGTCTCTGTCAGTGTTGTAGGATTACAATTAGTGGTTCTTTCCATCTTTTGGCTGTTTGCAACATATGTACATGCATATTGATGAATATACATGTTTTACTTATATTAAAGTACAGCTGGATATATATATGGACAGATTGGTATTTAAGGAACTTAGTTTTTAAAAAAAAAGATGTGTGTTAATAAAGGCTCTCAGAATGTTCTATATTCCCAAAAGAGTTGCAAAACAGTTGGAAATACTTATTCCTAAACTAGTAATAGTAATTGTTCTAAAAGCAACTGTCTGAAAAAAGCTTTTACAATGCCTGCTTTCATTTGGAGAACCAGAAAAAAGAGTCTGGAAAAATTTCCCTGTGAAAATTTTCAAGAAGTAGTGAAATTTCACAAGGAATTCCAGGTGGCTTCCCACTGTTTATTGTTATCACAGCCAGCTTTAGGAGCACCATCATCAGAATCATTGAGACAAGAAATCCTCTTCATAGAACTGAAAAGACTAACCTGTAACGCTTCTCACACCAAAACTAACGTATCACTCCAGCTCAGCACACATTGTATTAGCATGCAGTGCTGGCCTACTTTACCACTTTTCTCAGAGTGAATATTTTGCATATGAAAAAAAAATTATTCAAGATCTCTACAAGATACTGGCTATATATAAATGATAAGGCCTGTCTGCAGAATATGAACTCCACGTCCCACAGCTTTCCTCAGTCTGTGTGAAAGATAAAAGCAGCCCTGTCTCTAAGAAATACTTTGGCAGATCTGTCTCTGCCAACAAACCAGCTCTTGCTAACTTTCTGGTGGCATGGGAAAACATAGTCATAAATGAAATATAGAGGCATGAATAATTTAGGCGTGCATTGTGATTGACATGAGGGTGAGAGTACCTGATTATGCCTCCACAGCGTGAGACTTAAATTGCAGCAAATCACAACACGAGTCTGAATATGGAGCTTCTGGCTTCCTGTTTGTCGGCTCTTGTTTATTTTGATCCCTGCTCGTCACAAACAAAGGCTCCGGAGTTGTTTCGTGAACTGTCCGCTTAAAGATCACGCTTCAGTTTACACGTTTCTAATCAAAACGCTGCTGATGCTGTATGGTGGGAATGATTTCACAGTCCTGCCTGGAGAAGGAAAAACAAAACAGTTCGTGGGTTTGGAGCTGGCAACAAGTTATTGCCAGAATATCAGTCATTTATCAGGATGCACAGCTTCTTCATCGGGCTGGTTGTGATTAACTGAGATGTAACGGTGGAACGGGTGCATTGTGTGAATGAGGCACAGAAGTGCGCTTTTCTGCATGTGCGTGTGGTTAATCAGGAGCTGTGCCTGGGTTATTGTTCTGAGAGGAGGAGGGTTTGGATCGATGCCTCCCAGGGCTGTAGTTGCAGAGGAGAGGCTGCAGCAGGCTTCGCCCGGCTGCAGCCTCTCCTCCGTGTGCTGAGTGCTGAGCAGCGGGCTACGCTCCCCCCCCACCCTCCCACCCCCCCGCATCCCCTCCCCCTCTCCCACCCCTCCACCCCCTCTTTCATGTGTGTGGAGCAGATCTGTCTGTAGCCTCAGGCGAGTGCAAGTTAACAAATGTACAGAGCGTATGTGAAGTCTCATTTGCATAAATCTGTAGATGTCACAACGTTTCCTTAAATGGATTCCTTTGTGTTTAATTGGGATTTTTTTTCTTCCAACCCCCAACAAGTACATTCTTGTGCAAGTCATACAAAGCAAAAATGAAAGTGGAATGAATGCATTGGACAATTTGACAATTATTTATTTGTACAATTAGCTCATCTGACTGGCACAGTTCCGATGCCCTGTGGGCTTTAACTACCAAAGACAGGCCATGTACAGTTTTTTACAAGCCTGTATCAGCATAATTACCAATTTCTCTGTTTTCTGTTTATATTTCCCCTTGCTCTCTTTTTTATATCTCTATTTTGAGTCTCCTTTTCATATTTGGCTTGTATCCCTTTTGACTGTGGCTCCATGAACATAGATGTTTGTTCAATTATCCCTGAACATGACGGTTGCTCACACACATTACAGCAGATGGCCCCTGACCTCTGACAAAGCTTCTCCAG